TGACACATTATAATAAGTATTTTTCACAATTAAATATTTTTGATAATAATATTTTTCTAAACACTTTCATTGCTAACTTTATAATAATATCTTTTAATATAATGTTAGCATATTTGATAATAGGCAACTTTATTGAGGATGGTGTATAATTATCTTTTATAAAAAATTGAAAGGACAAAATTGTCAAATAAAAAAGAGTTACCTAAAATATTCAACCTCTATTTAGAACGCAATTTTAAAAGTTTCAAATTTTAGCTTTTTTTTTTTTTTTTTTTTTTTCCTTAGTGCATGTGTATCGGCCCCATAACACACGCACCATTTAAGTCAGAAGTGCGAAAGTAAAACCTTAAGATCTTACCTCCCAGATCCCTCTGCCAACTCCGCTATATCCCTGAAAACTCTTCATTCAAAAGTTCTACTGAACTAAATTTAATTACTTTTAATAGTTACCAAAAGTAATTTTTTTTAAAATAAAAACGTTTTTAAGCATTAAAGAAGCAATCCAAATGGATAATTTTTTTAAATAAAAACGTTTTTAAACATTAAAGAAGCAATCCAAATGGATTCTTAGGTGTTGTTTGATAAAACTGAAAATATAGCATTGAAAATTTCAAGTACTGAATCTTAAGCGCTGAATGTATTAATTTGAAAACCTGTTTGATAATATTTTAATTTTAAATGCTAAATTCATTAAGATTGTTTATTATATATAAAAGCTGAAGTCTGAAAATTGTACATATTACATTTTTGCCCTCAATATCTGATACTCATAACAGTTTTATATTTATAATACAAAAATATTAATAAAACAACCACATTCACTCAATGAAATAAATAAATATGAAAATTTAAAATATATGAATTTTGTATTACATAATATTTATGTATGGTATCGAAAAGGGTTTTACAAATATTAAAGAGAGTAAAATTTAAAATATAGGAATTTTGGATTGAATAATATTGTAGGTAGGGTATTGAAAATGGTGTTACAAAGATTAAAAAAAATACTTGAAAAAGAATTCTTTTTAGGAATAAAATTCTATTATATAAATAATTGATGGAAATTTTAAATTTATGGGTTTTGGATTACATAAAATTTATGTAGGTATGGTATTACAAAAATTAAAGAAAATAAAATTTAATATATATGTGTTTTGAATTACATAATATTTATGTAAGGTATTAAAATTTGTGTTACAAAAATTAAGGAAAGTGAAAAAGAATTCTTATCTAGGAACATAATTCTATTATATATTTTCAGGGCCTCGTGGGATAATCGAGGTACGCGCAATGTTACAAAAAATTAAAGAAAGTAAAATTTAAAATATATGGGTTTTCGATTACATGGTAGGGTATTGAAAAGAGTGTTAAGAAAGTATGTGAAAGACAATTATTCTCTAAGAATAGAATTTTAATGTATAAATAATTACATAATATTTATATAGCGTATAAAAATGGTGTTAAAAATACTAAAGAAAGTACGCGAAATTGAATAGAATTCTGTTATATAAGTAATTATTTTCTATAATGAATCAATATAAATAGTAACCAAAAAGCTATATACGTGTTTAAAATATATTAGACAGAGAGAAATCCTAAAAGAGATAACACAATTATATGATGGTAGAGTAGTCATTAAAAAATTATTTTTTAAACCCAATCACTTACCGTCTTCTGCGATAAGCGATAAGTAACATTCTCCCGCTTAAAATTTTGGCCTCTTTTAAACGGTACTTACCATGTTAAGCGGTATACTAAAATTTTATTGAACAAACTTATTTTTAAAAATCACTTATCATTCTGCATTCAGCGTTGAATTAGGAAATCAAATAGGCCCTAATGAGTTAGTTGGATAGTATTAGTTAAGTTCAAGTTTAGCTCGATTTAAAAACGAATATATTTTTAATAATTATATAAAACGGTCTGAATTAGACTTGAGTTCCACTTTTGCTCCATTTCTAAATGATCTGAGATTTGGTTCAAAAACAATGTGATTAATCAAATATAATCAACAATTGGACTCGACTCAACAAAATCTTTAATTGAACCACCTGTGGTCGGTGACGTAAATATTACTTTTTCATTCATTTTGCTTGAAGATAAGATATTCATTCACATGGTACCCAATTGTGAGACTCATGATAAGCCTACCCCATAAGTAAGCAACACGTGGCAGACAAGAGTGGGACCCAACACTCAAGTGTGAAAATTGTTTTTGAAACAGTCTGAAATCTGAACAAACTTTCCGTTCATGCTTTTTGATGGGGACACACGTTCAAGAGGCCCGTGGATTTAAAATCGGAAGGCCCAAAAAAAAGAGTAGGGCCCACTTAGACTAGGCCATTTTTATTTGATGGGCCCACAAAAGATTTTCAAATATTTACAGTGGGACCCAGGTCGCTCAACCTTTATTTATTCTGTCTCCCTCAATATAATTACAAAAGATCCGAGAGTCCCATATTTCCATGCCCTTCATCTCATCGCATTGTGGTCCCAATTTTCCTTTTTCAGTACTCTAAATTTCAATTATTTTGCCGGAAACTCTAGATTTGATAAACCTGTTCACCCATAAGAAGATGTATTGTGACTGTGGTGGGTCAATTACTTTTCAATTTTTGAATTGACCATAATTTTTTATTTTTACCCATAAATTCTACCCTCCCTCCACCAACCCACGAATCCAACTTCTTCATAAGTGCTAACAAGAACAGAATTAAAAATATATATATATATATATTATAGGGTGTATTAAATATAAGTTTTGGAGAATTAGGGTCAGTTTGTTAGGCATTTTGTTTAACCCGAAATAAAATAAGTGTTTTGTTATATAATGTTTTGAATAGGTAATCGGAAGCATGCATGTTTGATAATTTTTATTTGTTGTAAGATTTTTGAAAGCAAAAATATGAAAACATATTTGATAAAATAAAGTGTTGTAAGTTTGAAAAATATAATGATTATTTTAAAAATGTCATTTAAAAGTTTTTTTTTTTTAAAATATATATATTTACGGTTCATCACTTTAGTACCAAACACTACAATACGAAAACATATAAAAATACTAAATTGTTGTTTTGATTTTTTGCTACTATTCACGAAACGTTTCAATACTATATAAAACAAAACAATAATAAACACGTTTTTTTTTCACCATTCACTGCTACATACCCAACAAAAATAAAAATATCAAAAACAAAGCACGTACCAAACAGGCCCTTAGTAATCCTATTACAATAGCATAACACGTGTAAAAATAAATAAATAAATAAATAAAAGACTAGTAATATACCAGACTTTCGTCACTATAAAGTCTAAAGAGAGTACAATATATGCAATCTCATCTCTACATATGAAGAGATTGTTTTTCATTTCGAACTCGTAATCTCTCTATGTGTTTCACCATAAATGAAGGGTTATAGTGGTAACAACAAAATCATCAAAGATTGCAGGCACATAAATGAAAGAGAATGTGAGATTTGATGGATTTACAGAGTTAGATATATAGTCAATTGATAGCAAATTACATATTAGTACTATTATGTTACATTCTTTCTGAAATTATAGCTGAGAAATCAATTAAATGCTCTCAGGAATTTTCAGAAAAGTTCAATTTAGGTAGTACTTGTTGTAAATGCAAATTAAGTTGACTAGTTCTAGTTAGTTGCTTGGTTTAAAAACAATGTGATTTGATTTTAAAGAGTTTGTTGGATTTCATATTCTAAAACTAATTAAAAAGAGTCAGAAGTTCTTAGTACCCTTTTTAGTTAAAATGGTACTATATAAATTAATCAATGCAAATGCATTGACACAGCCATTCTCACCTATTCTATTGATTACTAACTAGCTCAGATTAGGATAGAATCAGTAGACTCTCATGTAGTACTATGTGGCATTTTCTTAATTGGTGATGGACATGACTGCACTAAAAGTGATCTTAAAGGATTCTATCATTTTCTCTAGAAAATTATTTGAGAAGGGAAAAACAAAAAAAGTAAAGAAGAATTCCAAAATCTATTGACTCTAATTTGTGGAAGAATTTAAAGAGGCTATTCCTTTATAATCAAAGTTCTAGGAATAGGTTCTAGTTCCTACACCTTTTTTTCCATCAAAATTTCTAGGTCAGTGTTAAATAATATCATACCGAGTTAATAATTAAGATTTACCATTTAATTTCATTTATTACAATTTGGTGTTAATTTCAAAAAAAAAAAAAAAAATAAGAATAAAAAAAAGAACAAAAAAAAAGCCCCTTGTAATTTATAAAACAAGTGAGAATTAATGTCGTAAATGTGAGTTCTCGTTAGATCAATATCGCTGGCATAAGTTCGAGTCTCGAAGTAATCACTTTTGAAAATATTAGAGATTAGGTTTGTGTCATTGTGGGATTGAAATTGAATGACACCCTTATCCACTAAATATGTTTAATAAAATTATTATCAATAGATTTAATGAATGAGACTGCAGTTCAAGAGCGAACATGTCTTCAGTCATATGAGTTCGTGATAAAAATTATAAACTTTTCACATTTACACACTCAATAGCTTTTTACATTTTGTAAAAATAAAATAAATTATTTAATATATTTTTAAATTTATCAATTAGATAGGAAGAGCTCGTGATTCTAAAACTTAGTTAATAGCATTACTCAATAATGTGTTACATATTGAAAAGTAATCCTAGTCATGAGTTAGTTGGGGTTGAGACAAAACTTCACCAAACCGACTTCTGGCATGCAAAAACCAGTTTGAATCACCCATATATTAGAAAAATCACAAGAGTGAAATGGTGATGAGAGATAGATATACCAAATCTTTTATAAATAAAAAAAAATTACAACAAAATCTTAATTAGTTTAATCAGTTAATCACTTTTTCAAAGTCTTCTATCCAGTCCCCAAAATTCAACTCCAGATTATGTAGACAAAATGTGAACAAAGATCTCCGGATTTTCCCTTGACAAATCCATCCTAAATCCTTTGGCAATCAACCCCAACAAAGAAAAAAACATAAAAAAAAGTAGAGAGAGAAAGTTGAGAGCTAGAGAGAGAAAGTTGAGAGGGACCCCACAGTGGGAAGGAAGCATGCCATCATCAGTAGTTGTACCAACGCGGTGTCTAGTTTAGAGAATCTAGTGAGAGATTACATTGAAAAAAGAAAAGTAAAATTCACAGAACTCCATCTTCTCGTGTTTGCTTCTCATCTACTCAATAAAAACTCAGAGACACCACACCAACATCCCAATATATACATACCCCTCTCTCTCTCTCTCTCTCTCACTCATCTAAATAAGACATATATATATATATATATACACACACACACACACATATATCAGCAGGTGATACAAAGAATCATAGATAGTGCAAGCAACACTTGAAAATTTTGAAGGGTCTTTGTTGAAAGTTCTCTCTTGGCTAATGGATTTGGAATCAGAAATTCAAGTCTCCCAACAACAACAACAACAACAGCAGCAGCAGCAGCAGCATGAAAAACAGCACTTTCATGTGTTGGCAGTGGATGATAGTCTCATTGACAGAAAGCTCTTGGAGAGACTCCTCACTGTTTCTTCATACCAAGGTGTACTATATATATACACACACACATAGTTTCATGTTTGATTATCAATTTCCAAGTTGAAGGGCATTTTCAGATGTTATTTATTGTGACTAATAATGGGCTCTCTCTCTCTCTCACACACACACACACAAAAACACACACACATACACACAAATTTTTAGATGTTATTTATTGTGACTAATTATAGGCTCTCTCTCTCTTGCAGTGACTTGTGTGGAATCCGGGAATAAAGCTTTGGAGTACTTGGGATTGCTTGATAACACAGACAGTGATTCTAAAAGTGCTACTGATACTACTACTTGTACATCTTGTTCATCCAAACAATCACAACAAGAGGTGAGAGTGCTCTCTCTCTTCAATTAATTTCATCTTAATTTCTCTTGTCATCATTTTTTTTTTTTCCCCCTATTTGATGGCTTTCTTTTCTCAGAATCTTGTTTTCTGTCTCAAAAATTTGCCTTATTTTTATAATAAATGACAACTTTTCTTTTCTCTCTTTTTGCTACTTTACATTTAGTACTTGGTCTAGTTTTCTTTTTCGTTTTTTTGTTGGGAAAAAATTAAGCACCTGACTCTCATTATACAGACTAATTATTCTTATATTTCTTGCTGCTTATATATATGTTTACATACATACATAATATATATTAATTTGTATTGCTTATATCTATATATATATATATATATATACACACACATACATATTTATTACCTTTAACTTTTATGATGTCTTAATTCGAAGCTTTTGACCATTTTTCTTAGGTTGAGGGCTGCCCATTATGAGATCTGAGAGAGTTAGGATTAGATATACGCAGTCTTATTTTTGCATGTGCAAAAATTTTTATTCCGAATATTTTTTGCATGTAACACTAATAAAACTAATCCGAAACGTCTTGATATGATGATGAAGTTGAGCATATGATACAGAAAAGTCATGCCATGATTGAGGGTTGACGAATAACTAAACACCATTTATGTATTGATTTGAATAATTCATACAAACTAAGAAAATTAATATTTCAAATTGTGATTAATATATAAAGTTAGAGAGAGAGAGAGACAGAGAGGCAGATCCTTCAAAACATGAGAGGAATGTGAAAACTCATCTTCAATTGTCAATCATTTTTTTTGGACTCGCAATATTGTTGCATGTACGTACATGCAAGCACACATCCCTATACATGTACTAGGAAACATGTACAATAGATACATTTATATACAGTATATATAATATATATATATATATAGTAGTAAATGTGCCGTATAATAGAGGTTGAAGGACCGAGGAGAATATTTAAAGGTACCAGGCATTTCAGGGTACATCAGTGTATGTTTTCTGAAATGTATTTGAGTATATAGTACCCATGTCATAATTCGATCATAAGACCTTAGCTTTATGATTTTGAAGATACCAACTGGTTAATTGTATCCACTATTTACAAGTCACACACACACACACACACATATATATATATATGTATCAACAATTATGGCGCTACAAAATTCCCTCGTATCTATGTACTATATATTAATTTATTGAGTACAACAACTTGTAATAATATTCTATAAATGGTTTTAATAATATTCTATAAATGGTAGTAGTACATCTTCAAGAGTAGTGAATTCTCGGAAATTAAGGAAGACGTGCATTACCTGTGTGTGTGACTCTGTGTAGTATTGTTTATCTATGATTTCTAGTAATTGATATTGTTTTGATTAAGTTCATCAGAGAATTTTAGATAAATTTAATTATTATTATTATTATTTTTGGTAATTAGAGAAATCATTGTAAAATTTTAATTATTATCTGAATTTGCAGGTGCATGGGTCCAAAGTCAACTTAATCATGACAGATTACAGTATGCCAGGGATGAGCGGTTATGATTTGCTCAAAAGAGTCAAGGTCAACTACCACAAACCAACACTTATTACATGATATATATATATATAGATATGTGTGTGTGTGTGTTTACTTGCTTTCACGAATTTGAGTAGTTCAAATGATGAAATACTTTTTTTTTGGTTTGAATCTGAACATTGCAAGTGTTATTTGATGTCCAATGAAGAGGAATATTATACCATATATAATGCGCATTAATTTTGCCTTTCTCATTACTGCCCATATTTCAGATTTCCATCCCTAATATATTTCACATAAAATGTATTAATTTTTGTGTCTTATAGACTATGAATATGCAATTATATTTATATAATTAGATTCGTGCTATACTTACCCAAATAACTAATCATCACAACCTCCGATGCAGTAGGACCCATTCAGGGTTTTTACTGTATTAGATGGAGCGCCGAGCCCTTCTTTTTGACTGATATAACATTTTTCTTCAAATTTTTTTGTTTATCAATATTTAGGAGACAATGTAGACTAAATTTTTAATTTGTGAGAGAAATTAGTAGTCACTGCCTGAATAATAATAATAATAATAATAATAATAATTAATATTATTATTTTCTTCTTATATTTGTTTCCCTCCCTCCTCACAAAAGTCATATGCTTGCAGGGATCTTCTTGGAAAGACATACCGGTGGTGGTCATGTCATCAGAGAATGTACCTTCTAGAATCAATATGTAAACCATCTTTGCCTTTGTCCCTAGCTTTTAATTATTATTATTTTCTAATTTTCAAATATTGGTTTACAATATGGTGTGATATTAAATTAATGTTGTCACACACACTTTATATTACTCTAACAATAAACGCATGATTTTACTAGGTGTTTGGAAGGAGGAGCAGAAGAGTTCTTGTTAAAACCAGTTCAACTATCAGACTTGAGGAAGCTTCAATCTCACCTCATAAAGCCTCTTGACAATTGTTGTAAAATCATCGACAACAATAATATCGTTGACAACGAAAACAAACCGAAGAACCACAACAACAATAACAGCAGCAACAACAATAACGATAAAAGTGGCAACAATGCTAACAAGAGGAAGGCAATTTCTCCAGATCAATCCTCAGAGAGAAGACATAAAATGAAAGAATTGATGTGTTACAACTAACATTTTGAGGTTTTGTTACATATACTATATATATATATATATATATGCATGGCTAGTGTACCATCTTTTTGTATTGACTTGATTAACACTACAGTTTCATACTATAATATGGCAAAGCTTTCTGGGAGTACATGCATATATTCTCTATGTAGTATCCTCTATCTATATATACTACCATTGTGTTCCAAAACGTCACAGAAAATAGATCAAATATACAATTAAAAACACACGGATTTTACTTGATTCATTCAAAAATAAGGGTTACGCTCATGAGTTAAAGAAACTTTACCATGTTTAAAATCGGTGAGTGGGTTCGCATTACATAATAAGTACGAAATATACTAAAATATCCTCAAATTAAATTTGCGAGGTTGGGCTAAGGTGTACTTGTACACTTCCCATCACGTTGTTCATCAATGCTACATGTATGATACTTTAACTTTCCAAAAAAAAAAAAATTACTACATGATACTATTAAAAGAGAGTCGTTATAGGATTTGCATACGTATATATATAGTATTGATCTCTTGCTCCCGTGAAGTAAGAAAATTCTTCTATACTTTCTATAGCAACCATTAGATTAAATTTAATACAACTCCTTCTAAACCAGTTCGCCAATTACCTAACTTCAACTCAAAACCTGAAGCTGTTACACCCCATCTTTCCCAAGGAAACCTTCCTTACCTCTCAAGGTCCTTGCACTAACCAAACCCCTACTACCACCCAAGAAAGCAGTTTCTTACGACCCTGATCATCTTCTTCCTCGACCACCTTCAGTTACAGGAGTTACTAAGGAGAAGGTTAGGCTCGCACTGCAGAATGATAGGTTCTTGAACCCTGTGGGGCTGGAGGTCAACAACGTTGTTCTTCTCCGGGCATTGACGCGGCTGTTATGGATACTTCGAAGTTTGCTCTCATTGAGGAGGTGGCAAAGCTAAGGTCTCTTTTACAGGAGAAGGAGTCGGAAGTTGTTAAGTTACAAGGTTTGCTCAAGGAAGCAACTGGCTTCTTGACCCTCTTTCTTGAATTGAAGGAGATTTTGACGAAGCTCCGGCAGCCTCTGGATAAGGGTGGGCCTCACGCGCCGGCCAAACCAATTGCGCAAGTTGACGAACGTACTTCAAATTCAAATTTAAAACAGCCAGATTTGGAGGGAAAAGAACTGAATGGCACACCCGTGGCTGATGTAACAAGAGAAGACCATACCACACCCATCACGTCATATCAATTGCAGCCTGTTCAAGAGTTCAACTTTGATCAGGATCCATTAGGGGTAAGCAAATAATCCGTCAATCTGTTAATCCGGTCCGAACCAATCCGATCCGTGTGGTTCGGTTCGGTTTTCAAATCTAATGGTTCGGTGATGGTTTGAAAAATTTGCAATCCGGTATTTGCGGTTCGGTTAACGGATTGGCCCCTGAAAAAATCGATCCGAACTGTTAACCGATCCGAACCGATTTGTTGCTAATCCGAACCGTTAGTCAATCCGAACCGAACCGTGAATAATATATTATATATTTATATATATACACACACACAATATTAAATATATAGTATACTTATTACCGTATTTGTATTTCTTTTTTCTTTTCTTTTTTTATTCATTATTCTAACCCTAGCTCCCTAACTCATTACTCTCGCGTCTCATTAGTCATTACAGCCTTTACAGGCTTTACAGCCGCGTCTCACTCTCGCCTCTTCTCTCTTCACCCTCTTCTCTAGACTTTAGTTATCTTCGCCTCTGTGATTCACTCTTCACTCTTCACCTCTATTTTTGTTCATTCTTCGCCTCCCGATCTCTCGCCTCTCAATCCATTGTTCACCAGATTCGAAGCAACGGCGACCTCTTCGAGTGGATCTACCTCTTTTCCGGTGAGTACACAAATTTTTTGCATAGATCTTTTTATTCTCCTCTTCTCTGAACATTTTTTGTAAATAACATCAATATTTTCTGTTAATCATCATAACACAGTGATGGATCTTCTTATTCTGGAAGACGACGCCTCCGACGGCCATCCCGTGGCTGAACTGTAACTATGTGGCTTCGGGCTCCACTGTGTACGCCATCACAGAGGCTTCGGTGAACGCCGCCCATCTCTCAGGTCGCTGGAGTACGATTCAGGCCAGTGCTAATAGACCTTCAGTTTATTTTCCTTTGTCAAAACAGGAAATCCATTGCCCTAACCCTTCCCAAGATGTAAATTTAAAGTTTTTCATTGGAAAATAGACCCATATGAAACTCTATCTCGGATTGAGGAAGTGTTTTGCTTTCTGAAATTTTGATTTGTGTTTTTTTTCTTTTAGGGTTTCCTTGCTGCCTTTTTTTTCCCTGTAAATATCATTGATTTTGTATTCATATTTTTTTTAAAAAAATGAACAAGATTGACAAAGCCCAATCCGCAGAAACCGAACCGATCCGATCCGTTACTTCACGGATCGGTTTGGTTCGGATTGAAGGCCCCCACGGATTGGTTCGGTTTCAATTTTTGCCAATCCGTGGGGACCGGTTCGGCTTGATCTTTATCCCCAAACCGAACCGATCCGAACAGTGATCAGGCCTAGGATCCATCCCTATCCTTCTCGTTCCACCTTAACCAGATGACGTAACCTCCTGTTCCACCTTAACCAATTGTCAAATAGGGGAATGATCAACCTCATGAATTGGCACAACCTCCAAACACACCAACTATGGATTCTCTAGCCTTTGAGAACTCACCACACAATTAAAACATTGGAGGTTACTCCACGAAGCTGGTCAGCCATTGCACAAGCTCCACATGATGAATGGAACCTTGAATTTCATAAACCAAAGAGCAATGAGTTGGGGAAAATTGTTGAACCACCTAAGGAGGTTAGTGAGGAAGGAGTTCTATATTGGCAAACTTGTTTGGTTGGCTCCTTTCAGATGAGGATGCCCTACAAACTTATCTCTGAAATGGCTCGCAAGTTATGGACGAATAGAGGTCTGTTGAATGTTATTGGGAGCTCCAAAGGCATTTTCTAATTTATGTTTAATTCAGTAGAAAGCTGCAGAAATATTTTAGCTGGGGGGCAATGGTTCCTTGCTGGGAAAGCTGTATCACTGAGAGCTTGGTCCCCTCTACCCCCACCTTCAAATGTCCATTCTAATTTTTTATCCATCTGGATCTTGCTGTACAATGTTCTATTTTAATATTGGACTCCTAAGGGGTTAAGTTACATTGCCAGTGCCATTGGCAGACCCCTCTTTGCAAATGTCAACACCACAAGCAAGAACAGGCTTGATTGTGCAAATGTATGCGTGGAAATCAACCCTCAATCTACTCTGGAGAGCTCCTTTCAAGTGAGAAAGAATGATGGTACATTAGCTGAAATTGAGGTAAAGTACCCTTAGAAACCTTCCTCTTGCACTAGATGTAATATTTTTGGACACACCATGGATAGCTGCATTCCTAAGCATATCCCCTCACATAACCAAAGAGTTTTTAGTTCAACCAATACTTAGCAATGGGAATTAGCCCCAAGTAAAAGTCTGAAGACCAACAAAACCTCTCCCATCACCACCATCACAACCACCTTTCATTGTGAATCACCACTACCACTATCTCTTCCACCTTCCATACTTTTCTCCCCAACAAACTCAACAAATGAGACACCCAATTTAGGAAAAGGTAAAGAAATTTGTTTGTATGTGGATCTATCCAAGCTGCCTAATGTTCCAAGCAAAACCCCTCCACCACAACCAATTCCCATTGCAAATCCATTTGATGCTCTCTCTGTTGCAGACATTGAGGAGAATAGAACTGAGTTTGAGGATGAAACTATGAGCCAATCCACTGCATATGAAAGTGACAGTAATGATCCTGCTTACTCTCCCATGGAGGGTAGACTAATCAAGCCAAGAAAGCCTAAGTTCTCTAAGAACAAAAAGAAAAATGGAAAAGGGAAAATTGTTACCTTGAAAGGGTTTAGGGGTTTATGCTGCCTCTCTAGCTCTTCTCAATGATTTGGGCCACTTGAAATATAAGAGGGTTGAACTCTCCCCTCAAACAAGTAGAGGTTAAAAAGCTCATTAGAGATTCTAATTTGAGTCTTATTGCTATCTTAGAAACTAAAGTTAGTCCAGCGAATGCTATTTCAATCCACAGATTTATTGCTCCCAATTGGAACTTCTCTTGTAATTACTCAAACTCAATTTTGGGTAGGGTATGGTTACTTTGGAACCCAGAAAAACTTTCTATCTCCCCTACCAGCATGACAAGTTAAGTTATCAACTGTTCTGTCTTCCTCATTGAGCTAAAAATCAGATGCTTGGCATCTTTTATCTATGCGGCAAACACAACCCTCGAAAGGAAGAGCTTGTGGAGAAGTTTTAACCTCCATGGTCAGCCTAATTTGCCTTGGATTTTGATGGGAGAGTTCAATGTCTTGCTACATATCAATGATTCTTTAGGAGGAGCCCTCAGATGGACCACTGAAATGATGGATTTTAAGTCTTGCTTGGATAATAACGAGCTTGAGGATTTAAGATATAATGGAATTTTTCATTCTTGGTCTAATAGAAGCTTTGGGTGTGTGAACATTTCAAGGAAGCTAGATAGGGTGCTAGTTAATCAACCTTGGATATCCAAATTCCTAGAATCTAAATGTTGCTTTAAACCTTGGGGTGTTTTTTACCATGCCCTAATGGTGGTGAATTTTGGTGAGATTAGCCTAAAAAAGAACTTACCTTTTAGATTCTTCAACTTTTGGGCAATGCACAAAGACTTTCTTCCAATTGTAACACAAGGGTGGCAACTGGAAATTTAAGGTTCCAAGATGTTCAGGGTGGTGCAAAAACTTAGAGCTTTGAAGAGGCCACTTAAGTAGCTGAATAAAAAAATACTACAGTGACATCTCTTCAAGAGCACAAACCTGTAGAGAAGACCTCTATTCATACCAGTCTAGCCTGTATCAGAATCCACTGGAAGACCAATTGAGAACCAAGGAAAAGGAATTAGTTGAAAAGTTCTCTGAGCTTAGTCTTGCTGAAGAATTGTTCTTCAAACAAAAAAGTAAAGATTCACTGGTTAAAGGAGGGTGATCAGAACACCACATTTTTTATGAAGAACTTTTCCACCAAGTACAACAGAAAGAAGGTTGTCTCTATTAACAATATTGATGGCACTCAGCTCCATGGTGAGGATCTCCAGCATGAATTTCTTGACCATTTTTAGAACACAATTGGCAAATCTTATCAGCATTACCCAGGTATGGCTTCTTTTTCCTATCTTATCACCGGGACTGTCCCAAACCACTTCATCTCCACCTTAACAGCAATCCCTTCTGATTTAGAAATTAAATAATGCTTACTCTCATTCCATCCTTTCAAAAGTTCAGGACCTAATGGTTATAATTCAAGCTTTTTCGTGCACTCATGGCCTATTATTGGACAAGAAGTCACTGCTGCATCAAAGATTTCTTCATTTCTAGAAAATTACTCACTGAAATTAATAATTCATACATTGCTCTAGTCCCCAAAACCCCTAACCCATCCTCTGTTCATGATTTTAGGCCCATTTCTTATTGCCTTTCTTGATTCGCCCTTCACATAATACTTTTGTGAAAGGAACGCATATTTTGGATAATGTTATTCTGACACATGAGTAGCTTAATGGATACCAAAAAGTATCACACCCTCCTAATTGTGCAATGAAGGTTGACCTCAAAAAAGTTTTTGATAGTATTCATTGGCAGTCTATCATTGATACCTTGAAGCTCATGGGATTTCCTACCTGCTTAGTTCACTGGATTACCCAGTGTATTACAACCCCATCCTATTCTATTTCCCTCAATGGTGGCCTCTTTGGTTTCTTTAAGGGACAAAGAGGAATTCGACAAGTGGACCCCATTTCTCCATTGTTGTTTGTCATTGCAATGGAGGTCCTCACTCTCTCCATTAACAACTCTGTTGCTAGAAATTTAGACTTTAAATACCACTGGAGATGTAGCAAATTGGAATTAACACACCTAACTTTTGTTGATGATGTGCTACTATTTTTACATGGTAATCTCTCCTCAATACAAGTTATTTTCCAAGCACTCAATCATTTCTTAGCAATTTCTAGATTAAGCATCAACCTCTCCAAAAGTCTTGTCTTCTTTTCTGGAGTGGACAATCAAGTTAAAACTAATATACTTGCACTTCTTCAATTTGTATTGGCACTTTACCTACAAGTTACTTTGGCTTACCACTCTCATCTAAAGCTATTAACTCCACTGATTGCACCTTTCTTGTTGAAAAAATCACTGCAAGAGTAAAGAGGTGGACATCCAAGTTTCTCTTCTTTGCTGGGAGAGCTGTTCTTATTAAATCCATCCTCTGCTCAAAGCAATCATATTGGGCTCAAAATTTTGTGTTACCAAAGAAAGTTATTGATGATATGAATCAGATTTTGATGAGATTTCTGTGGTCTGGTCCTGAATTGAAGAGATCATGTGCTAAGGTTGCATGGGAAGTGGTTTGTAGGCCCAAAATTAATGGAGGTTTAGGGTTTCCTAACCTGGAAATGGCAAACTGCATTGCTAACCTCAAGCATATTTGGAAGCTCTTTGCCGGAAAGGAAAATCTCTGGGTTGCATGGACTCATAGATACCTTATTAAAAATAAGAGCTTTTGGTTTATTAAATCTTCAGCTTTAAACTCAGGTTTCTGGAGAAGGTTGCTAAAACTAAAGGATATGGCAAGAGGCCTACTAAAGCATAGGGTGGGGAAGGGAGAAGATACAATGATGTGGATGGACTTTTGGTTGCCAAATGGACCAATTTTGAATCAGCTTAACCTTAATGATGGGGAAATTCTTCAACTGGACTGAAGAGTCAAAGTTGATTGACTAATTTCCTTGAATCATTAGGTTGTCCCAACAGCCTTAGCTCAAATTTCTCAATCACCTAATTTTCATTCCCAACTCCATGAACTGCCATCTCCATCAGAGGAACCAGATTCAATCATTTGGTTACCCTCACCAAATGATAATTTCTTCCTTGCACATACAATTAAATACTTCCTCCCTCCCACATTCATCTTCCCTTGGCACCATATTATATGGTTCAAACAGCATATCCCTAAACACGGTTTTATTGCTTGGCTTGCCATAAAAGGTAGGTTAAGTATACTTGACAGGAAATCAATGAAACACAAGCACCAACCCAATGCCTGTTTTCTTTGTCTAGCCAACAATGAGTCACTAGATCACTTATTCTTTCAATGCATGTTCTCAAAAGAGATCTGGAAATTTGTTCAACACTCAGCAGGATTCTACATTCAACCAGCAAATTGGAATGATTTGATCTTGTGGTGTTCAGCAAATTGGAGGTCCAAAGGTTTTCTCTTACATAAGCTACTGCTCTGTGTTTCACTTTACTTTATTTGGATGGGAATGAACAACAGAGCTTTCAGGAACACTTCATCTTCCACTTCCTCCATCATGAACCAGATCAAAAAGTATGTTAGAGAAAGGCTTGCTTCGATCAGTCTTAGAAGAGCAAGTGACTTGAGAAAAATTGACAAAATTGAACACTTACAGAAGCTGTTCAGTGAGGGTTGCTGCTTTGCTAATGCTCAATCTCTTGCCTCTAGCTAGGGGTTGATGTTGCTACATTTATCACAATCCAAGGGACTATCCATAGTGATTGTGTGTACTTCTATTTCCTTTAGCGGAATTTTGTTTTAAGATTCTGTATTGAGCTTGTGTGTTCAGCCTTGTGGCTTGTTCTTGCCTCGGGCAGTTTGCTGTTATCCGACTGGGACCTCTTGTACATTCTTTTTCTCATTAATACAAAAGCTTACCCTTTAACTACAAAAAAATAAAAATAAAAATAAAAATAAAAAAATAAAAAATAAAAAAACCATTAAATTAAATCTAATGGTCACATTCCAAACCCATCTATATGTTTTCCTTTTAATACAAAACTACTATCACTATTTTTAGTTTCCAAATTTAACATTTACTAATACCACTAATTACAACAATAAAAGGTAAGTAATAAACAAATAAAAATAGTTCTATGAAAATCACATCTCACCACTAAACTGAATTTTTGTTTTTTTTGAAAAAAAAAAAAAAAAAAAGTGTTAGAAAATTGCATCCATCCCTTAACAGTAAAGTTTACATTGCCTATTCTTTTGAGTGAGAAAAAATAAAAATAAATAAATAAATTGCAGAAGTTCAAGAGGTGAAAATGTCCTCATTTAGCCTCTCCTCTACAGAGACAAAAGAAATAATCATTGAATTTTAAATGAGCCTTTAGAAGCAAGCATTTTTTTTTCCTTCAAACTCTGCATTCATTCAATGATTCAAAGCATTTCTATTCATATGCTAAAGTTGATATATGACTGGTATAAACCTAATAACCATGATAAAATCTTTCAATTTGTTGTCTCCTGCAATTGGTTTGTGATCAAATCGAAATGGGGTTGTCATGTAATAATAATGCTGGATTGATGTCTTTGTTGTAACTTTACATATTAATTAGATATCTTTCATGCCTTTTTTACTTACTCAAAAAATAAATAAATAAATAAAATTTGGTGATAGTATAATAATAACAGTATTAAAGAAAACACTAAGAAAAACAACTAATTTTCAAAAGAAATATGAAATTTCATAGAATAATAGCATTTTTTATAGTGAATCTCCTCGTCACGTCTTATAGTAAAACTAGATACAAGATATTATGCGACTTATTATGACACTAGAATGTGTTTATAACTAGTTAGAATCTGAAAAAAATAAAATAAAATAAAAAAATAAAATTAATAAGGAAGAGGAAACAATTTGTGACAAAAAAAAAATAGATTAAATTTTTAATTTTTAAATAGCATGCATTTAGGGAGGTATACAACCATTTAAATTGTAATCTATTAAATTTTTTATGAGTGAAATGTTGTGCAAATTACACGTTACCTTGAGTTGATCAAGTGGATAAAAAAATAGAGATTTAATTTTTAATTTATTTTTTAGTCTATGTTTCATATGTCCATAGTGTAATTTTCAATTTCTTTTTCACACTAAAAACAAATAGAAAATGTCAACTTTAATATCAAGTCATGGATGCAATTTTCAAACACTTATTTATTTTTTTTCCGAAGAAAACAAAAATCCGATTAGTGGGAGACGTGATTTCGAGATTTCTATTTTTATCTCTTAGGTATTTTACCTTTTATTGTTGTAATAAGTACATTGGTAAATGGTATTGGCAAAAAATAAATTTGGAAACTAAAAATAGTGAGAGTAGTTTTGTATTAAAAGAAAATTATATATGTGAGTTTGGAAGATAAATTTAATCTCATGATTGCTATAGAAAGTGTGAAAGAATGAAATCACTACTCTTTCTTTATATATATATATATATATTACTCTCTCCGTTGTCTCAAAATAACTAAAAATAAGTGTTATGCTTTCAATATATTTCACATCTTTCCATATATGTCCTTTGAGTTTAAAATTTCAATCTTAAATATTCAAAACTTAAAAAGGCAAATTAATAATTTTTTACAGAGATAATGCATGTCTAAGATGTTCCCTTAAAAATTACTATTCCTCACTTAAATTGAGACGAAGGAATACTATTTATTGCTTGATTGTGATTTATAAATAATCTAAATAATATAATTTCGGTATGTCATTAAATATTGTAGTAGTAGTGAGGGTCCGTTAGCATTGAGGAGTCATTTAGCCCTAGGTTAGATTTGAGGGTCCCTCCCGAAACGATTTTTTTTGGCCGGGGTGGGGGGGTAGTTTGGTTAGCGAAAGATTTATTATTACAATTGCAGTTAAAACTAGGCTTAGATATAAACTCGTATATTCTATGCTTGTAATGACCTATTAATCTCTAGATAATTACACGCACCATCACATTCGGTAAAGAGAGGCATAAAAGAAACATGCATTCCATACCTCCCGGAAACCATGGCCGTTGATTTAAATATATTTTAAAGTGAAACTTAAAATTATCGGTCACTTTTCTTTCAATTTGACTAGCAAGACTTTCAAAGCAATTTCCTTTCCAAAAAAGTGCACGAGATTTAAAATATTAAGCCTTCTAAATTATATTTAGCACAAAACTGAAAATTACTGCAGCAGCTACACATTACAAAACGAGCTCCAACTAACTTTATTCGGGGAACAGAGCTTTCAGTTTTGATGGAGATCTAAAGTAGTTCTCTAGCTGCTATAGTTTAGTATAGCCGTCAAACATGTATACAACTAACTGCCATCATGCTTGCAACTTTCTTCCCATAGAAATAAGCCTCTGCTCTTTACCTGCAACAGAGGACAGAAACAACCCTAATTTCAGCATTTTGCCAATATCAGCATCCAACAGCTCACTTATCGCTCTGTGCACGAGTGTGTTTAGCAAAGAAAAGATATGGAACTAATGCCCAGGAAAAAGAGGCACAATATGGTACAAAAATCTGTCGAAAACGATCTTCCAACAAATAGATGGGTCTGGCTAAAAAGCACAAGATCCATAAATGAAAATCATCATTTACAAATTGTGCCAACTCACCACCAAGATAAAATATTCTAATAAACCACTACTACCCATTCACGGACTTTTTTATCAGCTGGCCGTTGACTCTTTTTTTTTTTTTTTACCCTATGAATTAAAGAAATAATAATCAAGAAACGCTAAGCACCATCTTGACCAAAATAGCATTCCTAGTTCTTGCATAATGATTTGGTAATCCACTCTCTCATTCTGTGCCCAGAGAACCCAAATAATCGAAACAATTGTCAAAAAGATAAAACTAGCATTGAGATTGCTGATGGAAGCAGACACTCCCAAATTCTTAACACGGACTACAACCAAAAATTATAACTTATACACAAACTAACTAGTTGGACAACTGGCAAGGCAAAGAATACCACCAACAAGAATGATGATAGTAATAATGCCAGCTTAACTCAATTTAATAAATAAGGCCATAATTTGGAAATACATACCTTCATTACAACTCATCTTTTCCGGAATCTTTTCCGGAATCTTTTACAGATTCTTGCTCAGTGGCTTTATCCCGATTCTTCTGAATATAATCAATAATATCTTCCTTGGTCCTATCACCATCGTACTGCGACAAATTTCCACTTGCTGACTTGAAGTACAGAGTCGGGTATCCTTTGACATCGAAAGTATCATTTGGGATATCATTTGCAGTAGCATCCTTGAAAGTACAAAAAAGTAAAGTGAATTCATAGAGAAACTTGATGTAATGTAGTGAAGATATTTTGCTGTAATGTTGCAGAGAAACAATGACAGCAGATACGCAGGAGCCAAAAAAAAAGTCTGAGCAGAATAGAAATACAACATTCACGAAACCAACCCAAGCTAAAAAAAGAAAGTCTTTTTTAAGTTTAGAGACATAATTTTGGGCTTATTGGACACAGAATTGTGCAATGCAATAGAAAATCCTCTTGTGTGTATTCCGTGGCAGATCCTTTTAGTCAAAAAAATTTGATGCGGAGTAGTATAATTATTGTACTCTAGTGGCACCAGCTCATATCCCAGTAATTTGACCTAGAAGATAACTGAGACCATCTATTGACATGTAGTAAAATATATTCAATATATAAATCCATGAGACCATCTATTGACATGTAGTAAAATATATTCAATATATAAATCCACGTTAATTGCCTAAACACTAATGCTAATAGCTCAGAGGTTATATGTATTGCTATTTATAAATCTTACAATCTTAGCAATGACAACATCTGCATCGTTTTGAAGCGAGAGAGCAACTTCATCCAAAATTGGTGCCAACTTTTTGCAATGACCACACCAGGGAGCATAGAACTCCAGCAGAACTGCAGAATAAAACATCAGATATCATCACGTGATTCGAGGAAAAAAAATATATAGTTTTAAGTAATTTCATAATGCAGGCAACTAAAACTATTGCGTGTTAAGATACCAGGCATTAAACCATGTAACCATCTCATCCAAATCACCATTATGATGCCAAGATATATAAACTCTTTGGAAACCTTGTTTAATTATGATATGACAGAGGAAGAAAGAAGCGAAAACTGTTTCTGGCCAAAGTCACAGATTATCCATGCCCCACAAACTCAAGGTAAAAAACCTCTCTGCTCATGTTTTGTCACTTCTAATTATTTACAGTATTCGATAACCCACTTTTATGAAGTCATAATTTTAATTTAGGAACTGGTAAGTGCAAGAAACAATTAAAAAAAAAATCCTATTTTAATAGACACGAGGACAATAAAGAAACATAAACACCAGTCTTGAATTGTCAACACAAACTGAAGATGTATATTTAAAATACCTACCATTTTTCCCAGGTTTGAGAACTATGTCATAGAAGCTGTCAGCAACTACAACCTTGACAGGCTCGTCGTTAACTTCAGGTATAGGTTCAGACTTTCTGTATGGTAGCACGTTCCCTTCCTGCAATTATTTACAACAGTTAAGTCTTCAATCATATTTACTGTTTTCCAAAAACAAGAATTCTATTACAAAAGAGTAAAATGGAACGCCTATCATAAAAACTGAACAAGTTATTAACAATGAATAACTTCAATTGTCCTATGCAAACATCAATAAGATACTACTGAATGGACCTTGAATTACAAAAAAGCAGCACTCATCAAACACAAATTAATCAAAAGAAGCAATCACCTTGTATTCCTTAACCCAAGATGCAATTGTATCAGGCTCCACATTCGGTTTAAGATATTTCTGTCCATCATTGGTCTGTATAACGATGAGTGGCACCTGGTCTTCTTTGAGTCCAAAATACTGTTCATCCAAATAGATTGAATGATCAATGCATGAATAAGTTAAATTAAGTGAATAGTATTAAAAATAAATAAAGATACTAACCTGGAAGGCACCTTGACTAGCCTCAAGATCTCCCATTAGAAAATTTATTCCCTTTCCTCTGTATTGCTCCGCAACTTCGTGATATTTTGATTTAAAAGATTCCAAATTGTCACTGCTAAAGTTAATAAACAACATAGCCTGCAATTCCATAACCTCTCATTAAAAATCAGAGTGAATGGGAAATGAGAAATAATATAAGCAGCAAAAAAAAAAAAAGGCCATAGAATGAAGAGACCCTTGCAGTATTGATAAATACTGCCAGAATTCATACTACATATCAAGAATGAGCATCTAAATAATAAAGTATGACCATTGCGATTTTGACATGCACCTTGGCATCAGGACCGTTGAAGAATTTGACAACAAAGGGGTGATTGTTAGGGTCTTTGTTAAAAAGAGTTACAATTGGTACACTAGCTTCTTCAATGGACTTCTCTAAAGCATCCACATTAAAATCCTGCAAGCACACCATATCATTATAAAATATATATATATATATATATATACAAAAAAAAAAAACTCTACTTGTACATATTATTTTGAAATCCGACATCTAAAACAACCTGAATATAGATGGATATAAACCAATAATATTGAAATTTTGTTATACCTGAAAATCAACAAACTGTTCATCGAATGGCTTGAACAACCTAACAACAGGCGCCGACACTGATGATTCCCCACGTGGCAGGAGTTTTGCATTCAAAGTGTGACCAAATTCATACTCGGAACGCAATTTCTCAGCTAGAGCTGTGAAATTCTCAAACTTCTCCCCTGAGAATTCTGGGAACACTCCGACCTATTAGAACATGTAAACATTTCTTTAGCCTCCGAAACTTCTTACATGAGTATGAAATGGAACAAAATAAAATGAAATAAAAATTAGGGCATAAGACACTTACAATAATAATCTTTTTGTCATCAATAAGGCCAGTAGCATCTTCCACAGATTTTATTTCAACAGATGCAGGACCACTCTGTTTCTTCAAATAATCAACAATTCCATCTGCATCCCGAGGTCCTTTGTAATCTTGAACGCTCTTCCCTCCATTTCGCAAGATCTTAATTGTGGGGAAACCCCTAATTTCAAAATCATTTGCAATTGCTTTGTTTTGTTCTTCATTGGCATCAACTTTCGCAAGAATCAGTGGAGTATCATGACTACTCAATATAGAAGCAGCTTTCTCATACTACAATTAATGAACATACTCATCATTGTCAGTTAATTTAGGATATAGATCCCCTTAATATACTGTCCAAAGCCTAACAATAGTTCCTAACTGAAAACTTAATAATAGAAAATTTGATTACCTCTGGAGCAAGTTTCTTGCAGTGCCCACACCTGTAACAGGACATAAAAATATTAAGAACAAAGACAAGAAAGTAAGTTAGTGTTGATCTGTTGAATATTTCATTCCTATACCCTTTATATGAAAAATCCATCCAACTGAATGGATAGTCACGGGGAAACATGGACATTCAAGAATGAAAACATAGCGGAACAGAGCTGAACAGAGTGTTCAAGAAGGTTAAAATCAGACAAAAGATTGACTAGAGCTGGGATCACACTATTATGTCACCACAAGACATAGATGCATGAAGTTTTATGCCATTCCAAATAAAAAGCAATGGTTATTTGGTAAGTAACTTTTAAACCAATCAAGTTCAAACATCTGACAAGCTACAACTTTATTTCACATGAAAACTAAATTTTGATAGTGACTCGGCTGTAGCAATAAGAGTTTGAAACACACAAACTAATTAGATTAAATTACCTGTCCCATAATGAAAGGATCCGACTGATCATAAATTTTCACAAGAAAGGAAATAAGCTGAACGAAAGTTTTGTAACACCAACAATAAAAATTTTAGTTTCAAAAACTTATCTGCCAATGTCATGAGTCAGCCCTAGCAGAACACAAGGTTGCTCAGCAGTACAAAATTCAAACTCAGGTTTGTCATGATGTGGATCACTAATCAAGTTTGAATGCTGAATGCCTAAAAGAGAGCTAGAGCTAATGGGTTTTCTTTACAGTCCTACAAACAGTTAACTGGTAACAAAAGAAGTATATGAAAAGAAGTATATGGGATTAGGCCTGCCAGCAAAATAGGTTTATTCGAAGAAGAAAATAAAAAAATAAAAAAATAAACCACCTTAGAAATCAACCAAATTTTGTGTTGTTCAGTTGTCTATCAGACATTATGTTTATGTGGGTATAGAGAAAGAGAGGGTTGACTCATTGCACCTACAAGTAGATCGTCAGCAAAGAAGATCATAGAATGCAACACAATTGAATTGACACCGCCCATTATTTAGATTGAAGATTTGAACTTCTGTATTTTTCTAGCTCAAGTAGTATCACCTCCTTTCTCCAATGGGAAATTGAGGGTTCAAGTCCCCTAATAAGCTATGGTATGTGTGTGCACGTGAGTTCAGTATTTGAGTATCTTACCTACAATAAAATTAGAAATTCCAGATTTAGATCTAAAGCATAATAGCCCCTTCATAACATACTGGTCAAAATTGATTATGACCCAAGAACATCAATCTGAACCTAATTACAGCTAGAAGTTCAATTTCAGATTAAAATTTCAGCATGTAAGTTCCAGTGTATGTAAGTGTGTCTATGCATGTATATATCCACTGAATAAGCCAGTGGATGTGTAAACCTCCGAAATAATTAAAAAATAAAATAAAAAATCCACACACACGCATACACACAAACAAAAACACATTTCACAGATTTACAGGAAGAAGATCGATCGACCGACTGACCAACAGGTGGATTGTAACAGTAAAGTAAAGCATAGAATTGACAAAGACAACAAAATCACGAACAAAGGGATCGAATCGAAGTGAATTACCATGGAGCGTAGAACTCGACGACGACGAAGTCGTGTTTGCCAACGGTCTCAGAAAAGTTGGAGTGATCTAGAGTGAGAACGAACTCCTTCTCCCCGGAATTCTCACTCTCGGAAGCAGATGTCCCCCAAAACGACGAAGCGGTGACAGAGAGTAGGAAAATGAAGACACAAATCGAAACCCTAGACGCCATTGTAGGAGGTCGGTTCGCCTTTTTCTCACTCTATATATATATATATATATCAGCGTTTGGAACGCATTTATAAATAAAAATCTTTGAGAGAGAACTTCACTGAGATAGAGAAGACTCACTCGTGAGCAGTCGTATTCGTACTCATTCGAGTATGATAAACTTTGATACTCGCTCTCTATACGGTGATTGAACACGTGGAATGATTTTATTGGTTCTATGGAGTCACAACGTTGATATTTACGTGAGCTGTTATTTGCTACAGGCAAGTATAATTAATTACCTACTTTGAATTGTGTTTTAAATATTTGTTTTTTTTTTTTATAAGAAACGTATGTCGTGAAGGCCACATAAGGTTCACGTGTTCTACCGAATGGGAATTTGCCATGTCAGCTCACATGTCAACAGTTCGTCTGACGTGGCTGATAATTATTGGATATGGATTGATATTTTGTGGTGCCTCATGCAGTGGATAAACGCTTGTTCAAATATATTATAATAATAATAATAATAATAATAATAATTGCTATTTTATTTGACAGTTTCAAGCACAAAATAAAATAAATTGCCCCTTATTAAAGAAAGAAAAGTAATCTGGCACTTCCATGAAAAATTATGAGGTATTATGTGGGAAGTAATTGGATCCTTCCTGTAGTTTCTATCTCAAACCATATCCATCTCAAACAAAGAATATACAGTATGAATCAATCTTTATAATAATGTTATTATCACTTTATTATTATTTTATGATAAAAGCTAAAACAAATCTTATAAAAGCAAAATAATGTAAAGCAAACAACCAAAAGAGAGACTTTCAACAGGAGGCAGAAGGATTACTTCTCATCATCAAAATTTTGCAATTTCTACACTAATTTTATACATCCACCCCAAGAACAACCATCCTAACATCATCCACCGGATAAGCAACCAATCAATAAATAAACTAATTTCTGTACAACTCCCTACCTCTATCTACTTGAGGGGTGTTAAAAAAAAAAAAAAAAAAAAAAAAAAATCAAATTTCTAAACAAAAGTTACAGAGCAGCCTTCAATACCCCTCAAATGATCTACAACTCCTCAAATTATGGCAGAGCTTTTATGGTCTTGAAAACTTCACTTTCCTCCCGAACCTTGCGCAGCATTTTGAATTCTAACTTGCTCGTAAGCTTTCAAAGCCTCTGCACTAAAGTTCCCCATGGCTTCGAAAATGGGAATCAGACCTGCTTGTAAACTACTAGGAGCTGCATTGTGCCTCGCCCTCTCTTCATCCATTCTCTTTCTTATTGAATCCAAGTCCACTTTTAGATCGTCCCGTGATGAGACTCCGCTCTCTGAGGGAACCATGGATGCACCTGCTTTGCCTGACACTGCGTTTTGATGCTGCTCCATTCTTCCCCTCTCCATGCGGAGAGTTCTAAGCCGTCTTTGAAAATCCTTTGATACGTATTCTGCTTTAAGCATCTGGCGTTGCTCACCTTCTCTCTCCCATGACTGTTGTAAGGTTGAAGCAAATTTATTTACCGCATTAGCCACCCCTCTTTCTGAAATTGATTCCATTGCTTGGGACCAGTCATTGCAAATTACAAAAATTGGAGGAGCTCCAATCCGGCCTGGGGAAAAGGGGACAACTCCGTCGGGAGTTTCTTCAGGTTCATAGAAAAGACACCCCAAAAGCCAACCATTTAAGGACTCAATAAAGAACTTCTGGCTGTTAATCCAATCATTAAAATGGCTGTACCAAGTAAGGAGCTCTGTTTCGAGTTCAACAGTAGCCTTAAGGCTTGAATCTCTTCGAAAGGCAGTGTTTGCTCTCAGGTGACGAGTTTTACTTTCCATGATAGCTTGAAACTGTTTCTGGTGGCACTTCAGCATGGACTTCCACATTCTTATCAATCTGCAAATTACAAGGTGAATGATATCAAGAAGAAGTGCAAGCATTCAGAATTTAAGCATTCAAACTATATAAAATTTATTTGAAAAAAACCAAAAAATTTAACTTGGTGGAAAAAAACCAAAAAAGAAAAAGAGAAATCAACAAGCAAATTGCAAGCATTTAACACATTAGCAACATTAGGCATCTACATATTATAGTAATGAACTGCTGAGTTTCGAAAAAAGCAGTCCTGCACCAAAAAAAAAATTAATAATTCAAATTTTGCAAGTGAATTTTAAATGAAATTTCTTCGCCAACATTTTCGTTCGCGATCTTTTCATTATACAAGTGCAGATAAACTATTTTTTTCTGATTCTCAACCTCTAACTACAACAGTATTCCTGGCCAGCATTAACAATAACACCGATATTCTAAGCTCCACAGGCATACACACAAGTTTGTGTGATTGTACCAGTGTCATTGCAGAAAAAATGTAAATAATATGGACCATATTTATTGCATTATAATATACCATTTCACCAAACAATATACAGGTTCATGGAGCAAGAATGAACTGCTGAGTAACGAAAAATCAGCCCTGAAATAATTTTTTCTTTCAAACTTTGCAAGTGAAATTTAAATGAAATTTCACCAATTCACCAACATTTTCGTTGGCAATCTTTTCATTACACAAGTTAAGATAAACTATTTTTTCCTGATTCTCAACCTCTAACTACACAACAGTATTCCTGGCCAGTATTAACAATAACACCAATATTCTAAGCTCACAAGCGCACACACAAGTTTGTGTGATTTTAGCACTATGTTTGCAGTAAAAATGTAAATAACATGGACCACATTCATATGATTGCAGAAAAAAGCAAATAATATAGATCACATTGATTGCATTATAACACAGCATTTTACCAAAAAAATTAAAAAGTCCATGGAGCAAGAACATGTATGATTAGATGAACAACAAAATGAAAGTAAATGAAGTTTTCTACATTCACTCATGAACAACTAAAAAAAAATCAAGTTCTATAAGTTGGTAATGTAAAATAGTAAAAATCAGGAAGCAATGTAGTATATAGGAGACAAACAAAAAGGTAAAAGGATAATTTTTTTAATTTTTTTTAACTAGTTAAAAGTCACCAGCGGCGTTGGGGGTGACAAGGAACTCAAAAGGCATGTCAAATATAGGAAGCACAACATAACATGATTGGAGAACTAACTTTTCCTTTGGATTACACGATCATCCTCCAGACCCCAAACCACTTATACCCTGACCCCAACAAACCCATTGGCAGATGAGACACTATTTACAACAGGCGGGTATATTCCCAGAGTAGTAGAGGAACCCCCCACCCCCTGGCAATCCCATCATCTCCTTCACATGTGTATTTGAAGGGTGAAGCGAAGATTTAATTAGCAGTAGAACTGCTCAAATTTAATTAAATAACTAGTCAACCTTAAGGTCCAATTATGCGACATAATATAGCTGTCCTGATCTGATAGCACCGATAAAGCAGGGTTGCTCTATTATATGAAATCAGCATAACACAGAATGAGCACACAAACTAAAAAAGCTGCACATATTAATTTTGTTGCACTTAACAGATCCACCGAGATGTCTGCTTTTTATACTAAATAATACACAGATGTATCCAAAGTTCTATCATGATTTCTGCAACTATATAGCCAAATTTCTCATTCCCGCTACGAGGCATGGCAATGATATGTAGTTTTCGTACGATAAGAAAGATTTCCCTTGAATAAAAATACAATTATAATCACAAGTGAAGTTTGATGATTGCAGATTTGAGAAGGCATGGCCTTGATCCACTGACAGAGAAGTACATGTCAGATAAAGAAATATGTGTGGGTGTCAGTTTCATATGCTTCAACTTTTTCCCATATCTTAGTAAAATTGATACGGTCAAATTGTTATATGCCCCATTCCTTATATTTAAGATAAATTGTGTCCAACATGGACACTACACTCATATTTCAAACGCCAATAAAGTATAAATAAATAAATAAAAATACACAGCATCTTACTTATGCTGAATGTGAAAGGTCTGCCTCTTTATTTTTATTTATTTATTTTAGTTTTTTGGGTTTCTATTTTGCCCCCGGCTCGGGGGGTGGGGGGTGGCAAGGGTGTTAACACATTCAGGTGACCAATATTGAAATATTTAAGTTAATGTTCTATATAACTAACAGAATTTCTATTGAACTATTCTAAGTTCATGAGAAGAATGGTAAATGAAGGCAAGTTGTTCAAGATGATTTGCCCTTGTGTAAAATCAAGAAAGCATTGGGGTCTCCAAATCCCAGAATCATTAGAAAGTTTAATTTTCTTAAGGAATTTGTGTGATTACCGAGGTTTCTTATGGTGCTCCACTATCATCGTTTCCTTCAAGATATCATTTGGGATTGATCATCTTTTGCCATTCATTTCTTTGCTAACAAAAAACTAATAACAAGATACATGACAAATATAATAAAATATTATAGTACAAATGACTATATAAAAGTGTTCTGCTAACATAACGGGGTTGGAGGAGAAGTGTTCTACCGGGTAAAGTGAATCTTTAGTTTAAAAATATCAAAACATAATCACCAACAGAACATGATCTAAATAGAGACAAACATTTCATACCCATGAATCAATTCATTGACTTGCGGCTGCAACTCCTCGTCCCTCAACTTGTGTATCCTGCTTGATATAGCATCAACAGCTTTGATACCAACATTAAGTTTTGTCAGCAACTTTCTTATCGAAGCCTGAGAAGCATCAATCTTACTAGATTCAGCTCCTTGGTCATCCAGAACTTTAAGCCTTCTACACTCCTTTTCATAGATTATCCTAATATTTTCTTCATCCTAAAACCGGAGGAAACACCAAAATAAAAATTAGTAAGATTAAACTGGAATTGCAGTATAGCGAAGCTCCTGAATCCATAACAGAATGAGGTCAAAATACTGTAACCATGGTGCCGTTTAATAAATTTATAATCATCTGACATTCATGGTAAAAGACCATGATGGTTACATCTGAAGTAACCTTCAAATATTTTTCCAAATAAACAATACATACTCATGAGGACCCACAACAAAATATTGTAACAGGTCTGTAGTTCTATATTCAAATCTTTACTAACATCAAGGATTGGATTATTGATTTACTTCACAAGTTCTGGAAAAGATGTGATGAACTATAATCCTCAAAATAAGTTAAAACCTATTGCGGACAAAAAGTTCTTTCTTTAGAAGAGAATAGACAGACAGTATTGAAGGTGATCCTTCCATTGTTGGGTTTATGGACACACAAATATACCATTTTGTTTGTGTATACACCGTGTGTGCTTGGACTCCACCTTTTCTCTTTAATGCAGTTTTATTCAACAGATAATTGTTTATATATAGAGAGACAGACACACGCATAATTTAAATGTGGTAGTAGCAATTTTAGGCTGTCACAATCCCCAACAAATATTGTGAAATTACCTTTCCATATTAATAGATAAAAAATAGTTTTAAAATTTTAATCCAACAATGATATTTTGGTTTCCAACTACAATGGAGAAAACCCTTCTCAATGAACTAAACTGCAAAAGCGAATAAAAACTAGTAGTATTTCAAAATATGAGTGCTCTATTGTGTTAATCAGTGTTTTTAAATTAATTTTTCCCTCCCAACAAACAAGAGTGATTTTAGAATATTTGAAAACTCTATGATTGGTTACGAGTCAGTTGGTTAGAACTAATAGTAAAAGAAACTGAAGTAAATTTTTATTATAGAAATTTTTCCAAATAAAAAAATTTAAGAGAGATTATTATTTTATAGCGTGAAATGCATGAAACTTAAAAAAAAAAAAAAAAAAAAAAAAATCGACATTATTATAGTAAATACATAAAAACAATTTCAAGAAAATAGACTGTTATGAAAAATTACTCTCCTCAAAAAATCCCTACTTTAGTGAAAATAAAAAAGAAGATAATTAATAGAAGCCTGTTAAGTAACTATAAACAACTTTCAATAAATTAAGAGGTTTAATTATTATTATTTTTTAATAATCAAATAGACAGTTAAGTAACTAAATCACAATTTCTCACAAGTATCACTCAAACTACCAAACTATAAATCAGAATCTTCATCATCTTACCTTAACTTCTTTATATAGTTTCTTCTCCCAGACATAGAGCTTCTCCAAAGTAGATGAAAGATTACTCCGCTTCACACTACCATTCTTCCCAGAATCCCCATAGTAAGATTTGGCCAATTTCATTGTTTTAAAAGCTAATCTTACGGACCGCCTGGATGGAGGTTGTGAAGATGACAAGGAAGGTGATATCAAATTCAATATCCTGGATAACAACACTGCATAAAGACACAAAACAGTAAAATAGAAGTAGGAAATGTCAAAAAAATTGGCAGTAGAAGACTCACAAGAATAGATACGGAAAGTATATGAAGTACCCAAGCAAAATGAATGTGCTTTAAACTTTTCTTTTTCTTTTTTTTTTGGCACTGGGACAGGGGCAGTAGAGATTTCCATGTTCTTTATTGCACATAACCAATAAAACTTTACTAAGGATGAAAAAGGTTAATCCATACCCCCACAAAATTTTGTACAGTATAAAATTCTCCAACGACCATAATGCACCTAGCTACAACCCATTGTAAAAATAAATGCACAGCAGATGTGTTTGCGTGGAAAATAGGTCAATATGCAAGGCAATAATGATAGCACAATGGTATAAAGTTCAGAATTGTATTTTATTTATTTATTTAGTTATTTGAACCTAACAACTAACAAACAAATACATAGATGAGTGCCCAAATGAATTTAATGTTACATTTTATCATCTCAGAACGATGATTATTTTCGTTTCATCTTACAGAATTTTATTCGCGTCAATCAGTTGGGTTTAATAGATTTCAGATTATTTTCATCCCATTTACAATCACGATTATGTTAGTATAATATAGGTATCTAGGTTCACCATTCACAAATCCTTTCTGAACTATATAAAAGACCAACATTTCCAATTGAAATTGCATCTCAGAGTAGCTTATAACATATACAAAGCCTATATGTAAAATAATTGCAATCACAACAATGCAAAAGTTGAAAATTGCCAGGATCACGCCACCATAAAAGACTTCAGAGCAATTGAAATGGCAATTCATCAATGCTTGGCAAGAAGTCAAGATGACAAAGTTGAATTCATACCTTTAAGTAAATTGAACCTAGGCTGGTAAGGCAGTTTCCCCACCTCAAGCATCAGTGCAACCTCTTTTCCATAATTAGAAGCAATCTCAAATTCATCCCTGATTTCGGTGACAACCTCCTGAAGGTCTCGTGTGCTATGAGCGGATAATGTGGTCACACTACTTAACTTTGGGGATTCAACATCGTGCATTGATACCTCATCTACCTCAAAACTCACACCTTTCTTCCTCACAGACCCATCATCTGAGCCCTTTGATACAATGGTGTCAGGACTGCTCTTTTCCTCTTTCTCGCCAACTGATTGTGCTCCCTCACTGTTTTGTGATGGCACTGCCCTTGAAATCCCCTCACTGTATTGTGATGGCATTGCCCTTGTCGAACCTTTACTGCTGTGTGATGGCATTGCCCTGGAACTGCTGCCCTCACTGTTTTGTGAGGGCACCGCCCTTGAACTGCTGCCCTCATAGTTTTGTGATGGCACTGCCCTTGAACTGCTGCCCTCATAGTTTTGTGATGGCACCGCCCTTGAACTGCTGCCCTCGTAGTTTTGTGATGGCACTGCCCTTGAACTGCTGCCCTCGCCTGATTTCTTTTTAGTATCTTCATTCAACTTCTTCCTCTTATGAACTTCTTTAAAGGCCTCATTCTCAGTTTCATCTTCCAAATCAGGGATTCCCTCCCTCTGTCTCACTTCATCGGAATTGGGACTACTAGCAACTGAATACTCATATTTACTCTGAGAATAAAAACCAGGGTAACCATTATCATACGCATCGAAAGGGTTGAGAAAGTCCCAAGCAGAGACCCTTGGTGGCGAAGGAGGCTGCGGCGGAGCAGCTGGAGGACTTGGTTGCCGCGGTGAACCCATAGAAAACCCAAAATATCCCCCATTTTCATTACCTGAAAATGAATTCGAGTATGCGTATGATGAATCAGGCAATTGTTGTGCCACTACCGTAGAGCTCCTCGGCTCCTCATAAATTACAGACTGAACTGCCGGTGCAGATTTTTTCATATAATATAAATTTCTGTTCACTCCATACGGGTCCCAACCTGTCTGTGGGAATGAATTCATTCCATATGGTACTGTCTGGGGGAACGAATTCATTCCATATGGTCCTGTTTGAGGGAATGAATCCATTCCATATGGTCCTGTCTGAGGGAATGAATCCATTCCATATGGTCCTGTCTGAGGGAATGAATTCATTCCGTATGGTCCCCAAGCTGTTTGAGGAGGTTGTGAACGGTAATGTTCTTCAAATTCTGAACTATAATGTCTGTGATGCCCCGGAGAAGAACCCAAATCTGAATCAGAACCAGAAGACAAATGCAAGTGTGAACCCTCCCCATCATAATCATGATCATCCTCTGGAGAATGATTGTGCGACAATGAAGCCGAATGTGACATTGAGGTTGAAGAAGATGAACCTTTGCCATCCGCATTGGTCTTCTTCTTCTTGCTCTTCCCTTCGTCAGAGGGTAACGTGAGTACAGGGGAAGCCGGAGGCGAAGCAGTGGTGAGCTCTTCCTCGACGAATTGGCGAAGAGCGTCACCGACGTCCTTCAAAGAACGGAAGTAGGACACGTGAGCAGAGGCGAGAGCGTAGCGGTGCTCGGCGGCGGCCCTGATTAGCTCCTTTCTCTCTCTACAACGAATGACCAATGGCAAATCATCAACCTTGGAACCACTACAGCCCATATCAAACACCACCACTACCAAAGAAAACCCTAATTTAAGCCCCAAATCATCGAAACAACACAACACTCCTCTACTCATATCTGTTCCTGTCCATATAAATGCAGAACCAGAGGAAACATTGTGAAGCAGTCTCTAAACAATACCAGATCCAAACATAAACACACATACACATACATATATTTATATATAAACCCTAGAAGGAGAAGGATAAGAAGAGAAGATTACTACTATAATGAGAACAAGTTTACATAAGGAAATAAATGCTAAATTTGGTAAGTGAAGAAAATTTGATATAGTTGAGAATTGAGCAGTGAAATCTGACCGTCGAAAATAATGAAATCAAGTCGTTACCGTCCATGCGCTGAAGACAATCAGAGAGAGAAAGAGAGAGACAGAGATTGTTTGGATCGATGAATCTGAGTGTGAGAGTTCTGTATTTTTTTGAATTGTTTTTTTGTGTTTTGGCAATAAAGAAGTGCTTCGAGAGGTGTGATGTTTTGGAGATCTGATCTTTAAATATGAAGAGGAGTGTTCTGAAATCTGAGTAGAGAAAGAGATTTGAAATTTATGGATTGTTTTTTGTATTCTTGTGTTTGATTCTGATGGGTTTTGAATGTGGTGGTTGTTTGGGTTTTGGTGTGTGAATGTGTGTGTTCAGCGTGTTGTCAGTGAATTGCAGAAGAAAGCTCGTGGAACCCGCCATTGGTAACGGACGAGCCTCATTATTACCACGCCCATCATTACAGTGATTTTTTACTCTCTCTCAATATCTCAGTGTGCATTAATTCCACAAATTTTTTTATTTTTTTTAGTAACCATGAAACCCAGGGGCCTTTGAATCCGGGTTTACGGGTGTAATATCGGTTACAATAAGTGTGACGAATTCGGACAAATCAATTTATGAAATTGTGTAATGGTATTAAATTTTTTATAAAAAAAAAAGTTACCAAGCCAAGCGATACGTCTTGACCGATACGACGAACCACGCTTTGGACTCATTCCTATAAGATAAACAACGGGACACTGGTGAGACACGCATATCAGCGTGAAAGTCACTAACAATTAAGAAGAGCAATATCTTCAACGTGTCTTTCGAGTATAAATTTTACAAATTCCAATTTGAAAAAGTTGATTTTTTTTAATTTTTATGTTTTTGATAACCATACCCCAAGGCAGGGCCTTTAGACCCACTCTAAAAGATAAACCACAATGATATTGACGAGACCCAAATACCAGTCATTGATAAGTCAGGAACAATTCAGAAATAGTGCTGCCTTTAATGCGTCTTCCAAATATTAACTCCACAAATTTTAACTTGAAGAAGTGGATTTTTATTTTTTAAAATATATATATATTTTTTTGTCATGTTATATTGATACGAAGTCATGACATAAATATTTGTATTGTACTCCATGATCTCTATCTGACCCATTCAGTGTAACTAAACCGTAATGTTAATTATAGCAAGTTAAGGTGTGCTTTTTGAGTCAATTTAATAACAACCACCCATATGTGAATTTCACTTTACTGCATCTAAGTTTTATAATTTAATGGGCTTAACATATCGACTTTATTTAGTCATTAATTTTTATTTGAGAGAGAGAGATTTTCGAAGTGAATGCGGAGAAAGAGAAAGTAGTTGTGTTACGAAAAGGACTTGGTGATGTTAATTGTTTGGTGGAAGGTCTTTGAGAAAGTGGAGGGCAAATCCGACCGACAGAATGTCGTTTAATGAGTTGGGCTAATCTCCACCAACCGATTGGGCTGCAGGGCCCACATACCATGCAAAAGTCAACATAAAAATGTAGACCCCACTAACTTGGGCTCCAAATCTAACCTTTTCATTACTACACTTTTCTAATGAAGCTTTGTTCCCCGTTAGCATAGCCCAAGGTTACATATTTTGTATGCATAAAAACAAACCCAAATATGTCGTCATACAAATTAACTACACTAGTTTTCAAGGTACACCATCCAAAAAGTGTTTGGAAGTAAATGAATACACTCCACCACTAAGTGAAAATTTAAAAGGGTACTTTAAAATTGGCCTCTTTAACATGCTATTATCGTATTTGGGACATCTTATATTGAATATATTTGTAATGATAAAAAAACATGTTGTCTTTGACGTGCCCTAAAGTGTTTTTCACAGTTAGGAGTTTTACCACATCGGTAAGTGAGCTTAGAAATTGTTTGCATTTACGAAAAATCGAATCTTAAACTTAATACTTATCGAGACATCAAAATTGTTAGAAATAAAAAAGAATATAATTTATATAGAAAAGGTCATGCATGGAGAGTAAGTTATTAACATATAAGGCAATGCTATATATGATAATGAGGATAAGTGAAGACAGTTACCATACAAGGTAATATTATATATGGTAATACTATATTATAAAATATATTCTGTCAAATATAAAGTAACTTATCACCAACTTAAGCCAACCTCCTTGGAATTAGTATGAGGCATTTAGATGTTATCAATTTTAAAATGTTTACTTTACCGTGTCCATGCGACATGTCATCAACTCGTCTCGACTCTCAATTCAACTTCCCAATTGAAAAAATGACTGTGTGCAAGAGACTAGAGACATATCTCTTGAACCCAAAGTTTCCGTGATTGAACTTCAAAATTCACTGAGCTCGAAACATTGCCACGGCTAGCTTAGGTTCATGCGTAGCTCATTGAGACAGAAGCTTACTCTAAGGGTTTGTGTGTGTGTGTGTGTGTGTGTGAAAGAGAGACACATTTGCCACAATGTCACCCCACTTTGCCTAGAAAAATATCGTCGTGCTTCAATTTGGTTCTACCCCCACACGCATTGGACTAGGACTTTTCTCAATTCGATATTGATATTACTTGATAGTTAAGAATGAAGAGAAATATATGTGAGTATGAACCATAAGAAAATAAAAAAATAAAAAAAAACTAACTCAATTTATATAATTAAAATATTCTAGAATTCATCACACGTTTAGATGATGACATTTTTGACTGCTTTTAATGAAGATAAACACAATAGACTGACTATTAGTTATCCCTCAAAGCTCAATACTCTTTTTTGTCATTGTTGTAAATAAAATAAATAAATATAAAACTAAAAAACGTGTGCTCTGCGCGTGTTGGTTGCTACGTAACGTGTGACTGTAAATTTCATTTAATTTTCCAAGTCGTCCCAACCTAAACCTTTTTTAGACTAGTGGGTGCCCTAAGTCCTTGTAGGGTCAATTTGGACAAAAAGTAAACAAATACCCTTCCCACTTAGAAAGAATCAACACTTTCAATCCGGATTTGAGGAAACTCCTCTCTTTCAAATCTTGACTCTCCAAATCATAACACATGGGGGGTAGGGGTAGGACCTACCAATATTTGGTGTGATAGGCCCCTACCCAATAGTTGGATTCTGTTGTAAATTAAAAGAGCAAAAATCATAAAATCCTCATTTTGTTTTAAGAAATATCATATAACCCTTTCAATTATCAAACCCCTTATTGAACTAACAAAAATCATTATGTTATCGTCTTTTTATGACGGAACTATTAAATTGTTACGAAATGACAATAATACTCTCGATATTATATTAATATTTTATTAAACTGAAATTATAGTGTGAGAATGGTAACTTCATCATTATGAATTATAAAATTATTTTGATCAGCAAAATGATGAAATTGTTACACGTGATTGTCACGTGATATCATCCCGTTTATTTTAGGAAAACTAACGGGAGGGGGATTATATGATAGATTTTTAAAACATCGAGGGGATAATATGATAGTTTCTTTAGTTGAGGGGGTTAGTTGACAGTTTTTAAAAATAAGAGGAGGGTTTTATAATTTTAGCCCAAATTAAAATGAACAAATGTCACCAACATGATGATGCCACGTGCATATAATCATGGTATTCCTGGGTTTGTCAAATTATCCAATTTGACATATGTGCTCAATAACACTCATATGTTCTCTTTTTGGCAAATATATTGATCAAATTTTATAAAATGACCTCGCCCTCCTTCCCTTGTATGAAAAGATAATAGGTTATAATATATTGACTTCCTTTGAAATTTTGACAAATTACACACTTGTTATTTAAAATTTTAAGTTAATAAATATTTATAAAATATATATTATTAAAATATAAAGGTATTACTGACCTTTCACGCTTAAATTACCCATATGTATTTTTTATATTATAATATATATTTTTTTTGTGTGACTTATACATTGGGCAACTTGAAGGAGAGACAGAGGGAGAAAAAGTGGGTCTATGACGCACGGTTGCCGCAATGTCACACCACTTCGTCTAGAAAAATAAATAAATAAACAAGTCTTACTCAAAAAAAAATTAATTATTAAAAAAATTATAGGATTCATCACACATTTAGATAATGACATTTTTGACTTCTTTCAATCAAGACAAACATAACTACTAAGGTTTCCCTCAAAAATCAAGAGATTAGTAGTCTTGTACGAATTGTACTATGATTATATGTATATGTCATTGTTGGAAATAAAATCAAAAGAGAGAACATAAAAGTAAAAAACGTGTGCTTTGCGCGTGTTGGTACCTAGCTAGCGTGTGACGGTAAATTTCATTTAATTTTCCAAGTCGTCCCAACCCAAACCCTTTTTTTCTAGACAAAGGAAAGAAGCTTGTCGTGGGTGACCTAATCTCCTTGTGGGGACTACTTGGACAAAATAACAAGTATGTTGTGCTCCCTTTATAAGTTAGAAAAAATGGGAACCTATCATATGTGATAGCCTACATTTGTTCTCCTAACTCCACGACCCGGTAAGATTTGAATCACATGAAAGAGGAGTCAGAACATGACATGAATTTGGTAAAGTTTAAGTTATATAGAGTGAGAGTAGGAATTGGGGTGTGTGCGGAGCGTGATAATAAAAGCGCGTTCGGAACGTAAAAAGAGCACTCGTTGAAAAGAATTATATGATTCATGCTCCGTTTAATAGGAAGGAAGAAAGAATGGTGGAGAGAGGACAAGAAGAAATAAACAAACTTCTTTACATTTAGTAGGGAGGAGGCAATGAGAGGAGAAAAAAAATAATAGATGAATCATCTTTTTTTATTCACAAATTTTATTCCCTCCAAATATAGACATAAGACATAAAAAAAGAAAGATAGTGTTATTACAAATTTTTAAAATTACAAAATTTTCTTTATGATAAGCATTTTCTTTTTCTCTTATATCATAACATAACCAACAAAACAATATATATATATATATATCTTTCTCTTCTATCCAACCAAATAAAGAGAAAAAAGTACATATTCTCTTCCCTAGAGATATGTTACTAGTACAATATCATAAAATAATAACGTGAGTGAGTTGTAAGACACAAAAATAACACATAATAAAAGGACATGATACAGACTATGTGATTCTTAAAAAAAAATAATAATAATAATTGATAATCGTTGTACGCGTAATGAAAGGATTGCATTTGTTACGAGGTAGACTAAGAAGTCGACATTACCATAATTGACAAAATAATAATAATAATAATAACAATAATAAATATCATATTTGCCAACCAAAGCATTCGGGTCATTCGAAAAAATTGCATAACATGAAGTTTTCCATTTACTCTGATGTTGTTACACGTGAATTATATATACATATATATGTCGGTGCATGTGGTTTAGTCCGTACTTGTTGAAAGTTTCGTTTTCACATTAATGGCAATTTTTACGAAAATCTGGTTTATAGATGTAAAACGTGTAACGCACATTATCATAATTAAGAATTACGTAGTATATAGGAGGAATAAGAAATTAGGGGGAAAAAAAAAATACATGACAGAGAGAAGTTGAGAAAGTCTTTGATTATATATCAATTTTTGAATTTTGTAGGGGCCACGACTTAAT